CATCATTAGCTTGCATTTCGTAACAGGCCTCAGACGGGCCTGATTGGTCTAGATCACATTGACCATGGAAAGGCAGCATTGATAGCGCACAGTTACAACAGATCCACTTTCCGGGCAAGTTTGCCTTCACATGGTTAAAACTTGTTACACCAGCACAACGAAGATGAATTAAATCAAAGCATTTTTCACATTCCAGGCGTCTATGATTTCTCTGTACAGTTTTCTCGCAAACTGGACACTTTGGCATCGAGGATGTAGATTTTGGTTTTGGTTTTGTGGATGTTAATGCAGGTCCCGGTTATAGATGGACGTTTCCATAGGCCATTAACAGCTGGTAAGTCACCGTACAATTAGAGTAATACGCAATCCTGGACTTTCCGTACTTTGTCTTTGTGTTATCAGTGTAGCGCGACTAACTATGACGACAGTCAATCGACAACATGAACGACAACTGCTCGCGAGGGAATTTGACTTGACTTCCAAGACACCTTTGCGTGAGGCATGCATGCTGATATTCCACGATGCACGATTTATCCAAATTCGAGACAAAATAGCCTGCGACGGAGAAGACATTTTAATAAACGCAAAAGCAGACGGTTGAGTGACTTCGGCTTCCACACTGATCGGTCTGGTCTTTGGCGAAAAACCGCCTGAAACAACGTAGAATCTTGTTTTCTCCAATCCATTTTGTGCCTCAGTTACCATTAGGCACAATAGCAAGATACTAATGCCTGAAGAAAAGGCCATGAGCAACCATAGATGATAAAATTCGCGTTAAATGTCGGAGCTCCAACAAGCACGTCTGACGTAATTAAATATGCATGGGACAGATGTTTACACGTAATTCCCATATTTAAAAGTTGTAGGAATTACGCTAGAGATTTTAGTCATTCTATAATCTGTTGTAATTATGATATTTCGGAGCCCCTTGAAATAAAATTTTCCTGCGGGCGCATCTCCCCTGACCACTCTAGTGAGTGGCACCCCTAGTGTTCGGTTATGTTATTCAGTTTCCTTTTTCTACTAAGTGAAAAATACACTTTACAGCCTGACTAAGCGCTGGAAAAAGAGAAAGGCCTTTATCTCAATTATGGTGTACTTAGAGTATTCTGAAATTTTTTTACAGCTTAATTCATCTATGCAATTAGATATTTTGTTTTTCTTCTTTGAATCATCTAATTAAAAACTGATATTTATGAACAGAGGCAGCTGGTAAATAACCTGTATCTTGTTGGGATAGATGTGTGTTGGAAAAAATCACCTGAGGTGTCTGTATAAATATTGAAGCGCTCTCACATCGAGCAATCCTTTAAGCCTACGGTTGACAACAGGCTGAGGTCGCTTCAAAACATAACCAGACACTTACTGAGTAAGTCCATTAATGTTAAAATCGTCAGGTAAAGACAGAATTGTAAATTTAGACATAAACTAATAGAATTGAGTGTTTTTTTTTAAATTTCTTCTCTTAGATGTTTGTGTAGAAAGGAACCATACTAGAAAAAACAATTATTATGATGATATTCTTAATTCTATTTTGAAAATTTTGTAATTAGTTGCGTTTTGTCACGGAGAAATCCTTGAGTAGAATTAAGCCTTTTTCAGAATCACTAACGTTTCAAGTTACCTTTTCTTGTATTTCACTGCCTATCAATGCTGATATTTACTTATTAGGAAAATCTCACCTCTTGTTATTGACCACGCTTTTCATTCCAGGGCTTAAATTAACAACAATATTTTCAGTTGCAAATGTTCTAGATTATTGCAACACATAATGATAAAAAATTTTACAAAGTGTGATTTAAATGAAAAAAACTAGCAAACTCATCATACCCCAGAATATAATTTTTTATTTCTTATCTGGTAGAAATTCAGCGCTCAGTTTTTGCATTTTAACTGTTTCCATGTACAGATTTTAATAAATAGTTTTAAGTATCCGCATCAAAAGAGATTTCTTAAGACATAAAACTGTAAAAACGAACGATAAAATCCGACGTTTCGGAATAGTCATGACTCCATTATCAAGGAAATTATAAAAGAGAGAAAATATAAACGATTTTCCTTGATAATGGAGTCATGGCTACTCCGAAACGTCGGAGTTTATCGTTCATTTTTACAGTTTTAAGTTTTAAGTATGAGAAAGATATACTTGGAGAAAAGAGAAAAAGAACTCCGTGTTCTCCCATTACGAGTCGAACCTACGACCTTCCGATGACTACTTTGCTCAGAAACCAATTAGGCCCATCGTCATAAACGTTTCTCATACTGCTAAGACAGGAATGAAGAGAAAAGCGTTTTCTATGGTCTTCAAAATTTTGAACAGTATTTCTTAGGCAGCTGATGTGCATTTGTTCGATATGCTTAACTTGTTTAACTCGTCTGAAGAAAGAATATTTTTTTGAAAGGAGCAACTTCTCTTAAATTTTCGATTATTCTTGGTTAATTTGAAATTTTTAGTCGTAATCTAGTTCGGCCATAAACAATCTCACGATATCTGATAAAAAATTTATGGTGTTCTCGTGTTAATTGGTTTTTTCCGAATGAATTGGAATTTGTATTTGATTTGGAATTGTGTATATAGGCGAGTGTTTGATTGATAATCATAGTAAAATGATAGTCATTTTGTTGCTAAATTCTCCGTCCCTGTCATTTCTTTAAATTACGATGTTAAAACTCTCAGCATCGTTTACGGATAAAAGTTTGCAATTCTGTGTGAAGAATTCCTCTCTTGTCACCATCTTTGTTGCCGCACAAATATTTACCCGGCGCCTAATGTCATGAATAAAGCACCAGTTGTTACACAAAATGAAAACAATGTTTAATAATATTCTGTCTTTTGCTAACCATACGGAGTGGTTTTTTATTATTAATTTTGAATAATTTCTTGTAAGGCGA